AGGTTTAGACTCCTTCCGTACTCATAAAGTTTACTGCGGGCAAAGCGCACGGACTCTGAAAATTCATCGCGAACGGTTTGAATCCCGGCAGTCAAAATACTCTCTTTATCTTTGAATCTGGTAAACTTGACGATGATTGGTCTATTTTCATCAGGTTGAAATTTCGCTAAGCGGTGCGATCTTTCTAGATTGGAAGAATCCAGCTGTACGCCAAGATAATTTGCTCAGAATTCAACAATGTTTCTTTCCGATTGACTCCATGTTTCCACTAAATTATCCTGGCAGCAAAAAAAAAAAAAAAAAACAGATTTGATCTTCAAAGCCTGTTTTCCTTATCTTCGCACTGTTTCTGTATGTTGGTTAACTCGAAAGACATGTTAAGGACGGGAAGGGATCTCAGATGTAGCGCTCGTCGCCTCCAGCCTTGTTTCTACTGCAGATGACCTGGTAGACAGTTGCTGAACAGTTGCGTCAGTTCCCTTTTGTCCGTTTTCTAAGGACGCTACTTTCGCTGAAATTTCAGTCTGCGAAGCCTCAATTCTCTTAACTGTTGCAAGAATTGTTTCTAGATGCTCACTGACAGTCAGAAAGCCCGGGTTAGATCTCACGTCTCCCGACAAAACTAACAGTAGTCGAGAGACCAAAGATACGTATGAGCAATGAAAACAGTAGTAACAAAAATACTTCCATGAAGTGCACACATTGTCCTCGACACTAAAAAGGGGCACAAATCATTACTGCGGAAACATTTGACATTTTCGAGGTAACCAACCTGAATGAGCTAGTGCGTTTTTGTCATGGCGTCAGCAGCGATGTCGAGACCCAACTGGCCGGACGGTTGCAGCGGCTTTAGTCGACACTCCCCAGTCGATGTTCCGGGTTGCCAGGCGAAGTTGGTGAAACTGGCTGGGCTTAGCAGGGTCAGCGAGTGCGGCGTTGATGCGGTGTCATCCTCCTTGAACAGATGATGTGCGTCGTCACCGGGAGCACAGGTAAACCACTTTAAGCTTCGGAGGGATGGTAGCGGACAGGAGAAGCACCTGAATGAACAAGTGCGTTTTCGTAATGGCGTCACCGGCGATGTCGAGCCCCCAAATACCCAAATTCAAGTTTATTCTTACTCAATACAAGTGTAATTGTTTATTACCCATTAGCACTGTCCCAATAATGCAGCCAGTCGAACTAAGCGCGAGTGGTGTCGAAGTGCTGCTAAAGAGTATCGTCGAAACTAAGGTGAATGTCCAGATGGCGTGTTTCCTTGTGTGCTTAAGTGCTGTGCTCATCCGATTCCGCTCAATCTTTATTTAATTTATGCGAGGTCACTTTAGGGGTCTCTTGCCAAACGACTAGGAGACAGCTCACATAGTTCCTACTTACAAAGGTGGTTCTGGGAAAGATGTCGAAAACTACAGGCCTATTTCATTAACCTCCATCTCTTGAAAGATCATAGAATATAATTTACACACTAAAATATTAGGAAATATTAAGTCATATAAAAAAAACAATCTATTATCTAAAGTTCTAAACAACAGCACTGAAGGGCTTACCTTGCACCACGCAACTTGTCCAATTTTATAGTGACCTGATCTCCGATGTTGATGAGGGAGGCCAAACAGATTATATATTCCTAGATTTTCGCAAAGCTCTCGATACCGTCTCACATTCACTTCTGCTCAATAAACTTAAGATGTTAAATATAGACTTGAAAGTACTAAGAGGAATTAAAAATTATTTCCTAGATCATTGTCAATATGTATGAGTGAATGGCAAAAGTTCGGCATACGTTGATGTTACACCAGGTGTCCATCACACAGGAGGGCCGCTCTGTCTTAGGACCGCTTTTGTTCTTAATATATAGCAACGATATTTCCTTGGGTATTTCATCTTGCGTTCGGTTGTTTGCCGATAATTGCGTGGTGTACAGTAAAATTAGTAAGAATATGTTGTCACCCAGTTACCAACAGATTTAGAACGCAATACTACGTGGTGCTCTACGTAAAAAAATGACTTTAAAAACCAAAAGGTGTGTACATTTATGTTTAACTAAAAAAAGAAGAAAGATGAAACCCAGTAATATATAATTAACAATTTAGTAGACAAGGCCTCTACGTATAAATACTTAGGTATCACGCTATCAACAGACCTATTTCTATATTACCCAAGCATCTTGGAGAATGCGGGGAATGGTGTTCCACGCGCCGCACGTGCTGACCTTAGCAGTAGTAAATTTTGTAAAGCAAAAACCTAAAACAAATGTAATTTTGCACGCGCGTTCGTCAACGCTTTATTTGGGTTATTTACATTGCATATTTTATACGGGGAAGGCGTGCGTGTGTGGCGCGTGGAACACCAATCCCTGCATTCTCCTTGATGCTTGGGTAATATAGCAAATGGTCTACTGACTGTTCGTAGAATTTTCATGTGGATGACGTAATTGTAAGGTCTGGCAGGGCACTGAACTTTATTCAACGAAGCCTAAAAGTTTCACTCCCTAACTTAAAGGAAACCGCGTATATAACATGTGTTAGGCTGATTTTGGAATATGCCTGTGCCGTCCGGGACCCGGAACAAAAAACCTTAACAGATAAACTTGTAAAAATACAAAATAGAGCTGCTAGGTTTGTTTTGGAATGTACGGGCGGGAGACGGCTGAACTCAAATGAAGACTGAACTGAATCGACAACCTCTCTCAGCCCGCCATAAAAAATTGCGTTTAAAATTTCTGTTTTTGATATTTAAAAATAAAACTGGAGTTAACAGTGAAACTTAAAAGAACCATAATATATTTCTAAACGGAACAATCATGATTTCAAAATTAGAGCGTACCACGCCAAAACATACATGTATGCCAACTCTTTTTTGTTAAACGGTACGAGAGTGGAATCAGCTGTCGGAGCTGCAAGTGTGCAGCGAAAATTAAAATTTTTTTTCAACATGGGCCGCGTTGAAATCTTCTAGCACTAAAATCGTTCTTATTCTTGCTTTGGTAATGCAGTCCAATATGTGCCTTCAAAGTCAATGACCCTGTTGGACGGTCGAGAATACGCATTCAGGACGAAAATGTTCTCGTCACCCCCACTCTTCTGCTGTGAATTTTGATGAGCGTATGTTTGCAGCCTCGCTGAGTGGTCCGTGCTGTGTGGCCGATACGTTGTTGCGGACCAAGATCGCCGTACCCTTTTCGCTAGGGTCCGTATACGTAATGTATCCCGCGAGCTTGGCTCGGCCGTCGGTCTCTTGTAACGCTATTATATCCGGTTTCTGGTCCAATTTATCAACGTATAGTTTAACTCCCCTGTCTTGTTTCTAATACTCCTACGGTTCCATTGAAGTAACGTCGCAGTCTCTTTCTGCTTTCCTTTAGTCTTCTTCATTTTCTACTTTTTGAGAGGTAGAGTTGTGCACGGAGCCAACTTCTCGCGGCTTGACCCGTAGATTAACTTGCGATGACTTCATAAACATAAATTGACTCCTGGTTATTTGCAGCTGTGCTCTTGCTCCGTTCCTCAACAGCTGATCTACACTACTAAATGACAAAAACTCGATTGAGTCTCTAAAGGGGAGACAAAAAATGTCCGTCAAGTAATAAAACTCAAGTGCATGTGCAGTGACTAAGCTAAAGATAATGAATGGCGAAACTGATTTATATATTTAATGAGTTAACTTAAAATAAACAATATAGAGCTCTTAAGAATGAAACTCATTTGCAAATGTAAGAAGTTCAAAATAATCGATATTGAGTTCTTGATGACAAAACTCATTTGCACAGCTAAGGAGTAAATTAAATTTAATAAATATTTAGTTCATAACGAGCAAACCCAGTTGCATTTTTAATAAGTAAATTCGAAAGAATATATATAGAGATTAGAATCAGCAAGCTCAATTGCATTTGTAATGAGTAAATTAGAAAGAATATGTATTGAGTTCTTAATGACCAACGTGAATTGCATTCCCAATGAGTAAGTTAAATAGAAACGATATCGAGTTTCTGATGATCAAACTCATAAGACGCTGAGTTTTTACTGAACTACCAACTGGCCCAGCAGTCTTATCAGTTTATACTGAGTTTAAATTGACTCTATACTAATACATTAAACAGTCAATTGAAACTCATTGATCATTTTTTGTAAGAACAAGGCCGTAGAGGTGATAATTTTGCGCCTCCATCGAAGGCCACCGCTGGACACGTGTCGGGAACGGGTGCTGCGTCAGTGGTCGGCTTCGAGTCAAATTGGAGCCGAACGTTGACGCAATCGTCGTGTCCAATCAGTGACCAGCGTTGACCTCCGCTGATGGCGGCACCCCAGCTGTTCTCACTTCTGAACCGCTTTGGTGGTGCACAAAGTCAGCGGACAGGGCTTTCCTACCACCTGCACTCCGGAGCGCCCTGAGAGCCTTTCGAGTGTTTATGGGCTTTGGAACCACCCAGCGCACGCTGAGGAAAGTCTCCGCGGTAAAAGAGCAGTCACCCATTGTAGGGGAAACGTGCAATCGGCTGCACGCTCCGTGCAACACGCTCTGTCAAGGCCACATCCCAGACACGGAAATGAAAGCGCTTAGAGCTCACTTGGGAAATAATATGCATCTATAGCATTTCCAGGACCAGATCATGTTTTCGGTCTTTTTCTGGTCCCCTTTCCAAAGAGCGACTTGAATTTTCGAGAGCATCTGATATACATTAAACTCGAATCAAACATCAAAAGGCCACTACCCACAGTCATCGGTATGTGTCATTTTATTTGTGGCGTTATTCTGCTACCTGGCGTCCTGCGTCCCAACAGATCGAGGCGGGATAATTAACCTCGAATGCCGTGCAGTGTTTCTCGAAGTCGCGGTTGGGTATCTCCCTCTCGCATCGGCATTCAGGGCCAACAACAAATACCGGTTTTCTTTTTTCTGTTTTTTGCCAATGAGCAGCCTCGTTTGAGAAACCCGCGGCACGTGGCTGCACTTGATAATTGCTCGTGCCGCTGAGCACGGCCGACCGGTTTCCTCGTTTCCCGTCTCGCGCGATGCAAAAGTAGAGGTCCCCGCCGCTGTCCATTGATTCGACCCGGCAAGCCTTGCCGTCCTAATGATTCTGCCCCGTTATCTTCAACAAGGACGGTTCAGCGACAGCAGCAGCAGCCGAGCCTTAATGCAGGATGCTATCAGAGAAGGCCAAGGTCGCCGCGCGTGGCGGTGATTGATCTGAGAGCGTTATTCTTCGTCTCGACGGCTTTCCGGAGTCGCTCTCCGCGCGCTGACGGGACTCCCAGACACTGGGCAAGTGTCGCCTTCGTGAATCGGACGTCGCGCCGTTCCAGACCTCTTCTGCGCACTTGGACTGCTGCATTGCGTAACCCTGTGTCCAGCGCCACAAATGGTAGGCTTCCTTCGCCGACATTTATATAACATTGGCTCCACCCATGCGCCTTTAAATTTTTCTCAATACGTGTTTGTTTTGATTCGTAATACAATTGTTAAATGGTTTCCTATAGAGTTCGTTTTAATCCGATGCAATAAGTGTATACACGCTTACAAACATCTTTTCATAATCCATAAATAATTTTTCATTATTTTTTATAAATTCTTTTTTATAATTAATTTTTAGGTATTTATGAATTTTTCTGTTAATATTTCGGGTTATATTTTAGCAAAAAATAATCGCTGATACAGCCCTCCCTGCTCCTTTGGCTTTCCTGCCAGTTTTTAAAACAAGCTTCGGTTCAAACGCTACTCTAAACGCCAAGCTAATGTCTTTATCTTTGAAGTCTTCGACAATTCGAGAAAAAACGAATATCGTGAAAACGATAGCGTCAGGTGTTTCAGCTCATACTGTCCAGGCGTATACGTGTCATGCAGAATGATAATAGTTAAAAAGCTAAACGCGATCATGTGTTCATTCTGAGCCGTGTCCCCCTGTTGGCACTTCTTGCAGCTATTTCTTTGTCACGGGTCGGTCTATTTACAGCCGATAAGGTGAGTCCTGTCGAAACTAAGAGGAGGGTACAGATAGAGCATTACGAAAACACAAAGAATCGATGCCCGTGATAAGAAGCAATCGCTGCCGCTAGGAGTATTCCGGCGATTTCTTAATGGTCCCCGATGTGCCTCAAATTTTGCTAACTGCAACAACGAACATCGTTAAAATGATATCCCAAATATTAGGTCAAAATAATTGGTTTTTGTGAAGTTATTGAATTTACAATTTCGGTATTCACTTTGTATTTTAAACGGAAGTCTCTTCTCGTAACAACGAAAAAGTGACGCCCGTGGAAGGCACAAGTTCACTCTTTGCACTGTAGATTTTGATTCCAGCTGATTACAAGCAGTTTCATGGCGTTCGAATGAATGCTTTGGAAGCTGGCTCCTGTACTCACTCACCAGCACGGAACAAATGCTTGGGACATTCTATTTTTTCGAGTGCTTGCTCGCCTGCCAAGCCTGCCTTCCACTGAAGTCACGGCATTTAAAAGTGCGGGTATATTGAAATGTTGGTTTTTGCAACATTTTTATTCGCCGATTTTACACTAATTATTATGAATATTGCGATACTAAATAGCACACTGCAAAGGATAAACAGCAGGGATACAGAACATATATTAAGTTATACTCGCCGATTTACCTTTAAGATCGGCTCAACACACCGATAGCCACGGCTGTTCCGATCCCCGAAAGTATTCTGTAAAAACAAAGAAAAAATCTGCGAAATTATTGAATTTCTTTGTCATCGTGGTTGTCAAGCCGCTACTGGCAACACAGACGTGTAACTACAGAAATTGTTATATCGGGCGCCTCGGCCCATATTGATAGGGAGGCCACTCCAGTCGGTTGCTGAGTATGAACTGTTTTTATACCCCCGGCACGCGTACGGCCGCCCAAGCCTGCTCACGTCCAGGGGCAGACTTACGGGTGAGGCCTGGGGGTGGGGGTAGGCATTTGGCTAGCGGAGGAGGAGGGGGGGGAAGGGGGGGGGGAGGCCGCTGAGATATGACGTTGCGGTCGAAACGATGCCCTGATATATTTTGTTGACGTAATGCTTCCTATGCGACCAAAAACTAAACTTCTGCTTGGTGTCTATGAATGATTTTATTGAAACAAAGTTGACCTTAAAGAAATTTAGGGGGGGGGGGGGAGCGTCGCCCCCCCCCCCCCCCTAAATCCGCCCCTGTTCACGTCACGGGCAGCTCGGGTCACCCGATCTCCGGATGCCGCGTCGGCGGACGGCGCTATTACGTGACCGCCCAAGTGGCGCCGTAGGGAGTTCCACAGAGCGGCGGCAGGTTCCTCGTATTACACACAACATCCCTTCCTCCTCTGACTGAGTCACCGTAGCGGTCCGGGGGACGCCGTTCGCGCTGTTGTCTTGGCACCGCAGTGAAAACTGGCGCTGACTCGCTCTCCCGCTGGTCGGAAGGTACCGTGTCGCACGGGTCAGATTGCGCGCCAGCTCCTAATCGAAGCTCGGGCGCTGGAGGTCGATTGTGTTCGGACGGTGCTGGGGCGTCCGGCTGTAGAACATGTGGAGCCGGTAACTGCCTTGTCATCGGTTCCTCGCTGGAATTGCGCGATGACGAGTTCGCTGTCTGACACTTCTGTGCACCGGGTTTAACGTGATCTAGGTGTCGACGAACCGTTCCATTCTCGCACTTTTCCAGCCAAGAGTGGTGCCCAGTCTCTTCATGACCGTTCCTACCATGCAAGTAGGGTTTCCTACGAAGTTGCGAACGAAAACGGATTGTCCTACTCTAACTTCTCTCGGTGATTTGTCTCTACCGCATTCAGATGCCGGTTCTTTTGGCACGCGGGGCTGTAGGCGTGTGGGTGCTGTAGGAAGTTCGTGGCCGAACATGAGCGCCGCTGGTGTTTGTCCAGTTGTACAGACGGTTGTCTGCTGTTTAAGCAAGAAACCTGTCAGTCTGCACTAAAATTTCGCTGTTTCGCTCGGACTTTTTTTTTTTAACGCCTGCTTCGTTTCGAGGACCATTCTTTCCGCCTCTCCGTTTGTAGCGGGATGGTAGGGCGCACTTGTTATGTGAGTCACACCATTTTTCTTTAGGAAGTCTTCCACCTCAGACGAAACAAAGGATGGTTCATTGTCCGATACCGTCCTTTCAGGGACCCCAAACGTTGCGAAGAGTTCCTATGATTCCTCAATCAGTGTGACTGACTGTATGTTGCGCATGCAGGGTACTTCTAGCCACTTGCTGTACGCGTCGACAACAATCAACATCATTTTCCCCTCCACGGAGCCAGCGAAGTCCGCCTGAATGGTCTGCCAAGGTGTCTCACACGCGCCCATTTGAGGATTGGTGACTTCGGTGGTGCCTTCTGGTGTCGCCAACAAGTTTCAAAGCTTCATGCCAATCTTTCAATGTCGCTGTCAACACCTGGCCACCAAAACTAACCTCGCGCGCATGCCCTCATAGCTACTACTCCTCTATGACCTGCATGTGCCAAGTCAAGCACATCCTTCCTCGCCTTTGTGGGCAACATTCTTGCACTGAAAGTTCTGTGCTGAGTCTACAGTACTGTGAAAACTGTTGCTTTTGCGGTTTATACAGTTCTCGATTTGAAATAGCTGTGAGCACTCGGGACGAGAGTCAATCCCGTCGGGCCACTTCAGCGAGTTTACGTGGCGCCAGTTTGGAAACTTGGCGGTGACAGCAACATGAGTACGTCCGCCGGAGGTCAGGGCTCGTCGGCGTGTGCCGCTCTTCCCCAGTGGATCCGTAGGAGTTCCACGAAGCGGCAGCAGGTTGCTCGTATTATACACAACAGAAATGGTACCCAGTGTGGCCGGTAAACGTAAACCACGTACCACCTGATTACAAGACGTTTCATGGCGAGAAAAGAATGCTTGGAAACTCATTCATGTGAAAAAACGCTCGACATACTCTGCTTAAGACTACCTGCGCGACGTGAAAGTCCACCATTTGTGACGTCACACCACCGGAGAGCGCGCGGAAATTTGTATGTTGGCTTCGGCATCATCTTCATTTACGATTTTCCTAATAGCTACGTGAAATTTCGAGACAATAAGTAGCAGACCGTTTACACTAAAGTCTGGGATTGAGAAGATGAAATTTGTTTGGGTATACCTCACGAATTTCCGGAGTACCCCTTTAAAGGTTAAAAGTAGAGATAATAAAATTACTGGTGACGATTCCTCCCAGTGTTAAGGCCAGCCCCTTGGAACGCGACATCCGACAGCGTAACACTTTGGCTTTTGTGACATCATTTCCTGGCACTTCGGGGCCCACTTTTGATATCTGGGCGGAATAGAACACTAAACTCATCACTCGGAGATACGTTCCAGGGGTTGCTTTTGGTCACCGCCAAAGCGAGATATAATTTACGAAGAAAGGGTAAAAGCACAGGCGAGCTGGTGAAGAACTTCCATCGTAAACCGGAGACACGGAAAAATAAAAAAAACAAAAAAAAACGGACAAAACAACAAGTCTCAAACACAGCTTCTAGATTATTTGAACACCTCCGCTCTTATATATACACAACAACCCTCCTCTCCAAAGGTCGACACACCTCCTCTCCACTCCATCAACGACATCTCAAACTGAACCAATGACACATGCTACCTCCCTTCCTTTCATACCAACCAAAAACTGACCCCTTTCCAATCCACGAAACAGGCACTCAAACCCTGCTAACAATGAAAACACCCCCCCCCCCCCCAAAAAAAAAAAAAAAAAAAAAAAAAGATGGATTTTTCGGAACCGACCAGCCACAGCTGATAACAGGCCTATCGAACAGACACGGTGTTAACATTCAAACACCCCTCAAAAAAAAAAAAAAAAAGGAATTTAGAGACATAGAAAGCGTTTCAGTTCACTTCCGAAACCCAAGGACTCCAAAATACATAAAGTCTCCCTCACAACTCTCCTACCATTTTCTTTTTCTTTATGCAATACCTGGGTATCCCCCCACTCAGGCTGAGAGTGATTGCAGTCTACAACATGTTTAGCTATTTCTGAATACTGCGCATTGTCTTTTACCGCCCTTTTATGTTCCAGCAATCTATCATTCAAACAGCGACCAGTTTGGCCTACATAAGACAATCCACACCGCAACGGAATGTCGTATACAACTCCTACTTGACAAGTTAAATCAGGGTTTTGGTGTTTCTTTAGGCAACCCTGACGACCACCCGAAAAGGGGGTTAAGCTTTCCAATTTATGTTGTGCCTTGAAAACTAAATTTACTCCGAACCTCTTGGCCACTGACTTCAAATTGTGAGATATTCCATGATAGTAAGGCACACAGACCACATTTTTCACAACCGGTTTTTCTACCGGAGCCGAACTGAACTTTCTTAACACCTTAAGCATAACACTAGAAATCACATCCTGGTGATGGCCCGCTTCC